TGAGGCTAATGCCTGTATACTAAGGGAACAGATCATCCTCTCCTTGATCATCAGGTTGAGGACAGTGGGAGAAGGGGAAGACATGTGGAGATGTTGGTACCTGAGGGGAGAACCTTGGTTCAGTAAAGGCAAAAAAGTTAGTAAGAGAATTAGATAAACCTAGCTGAAGGAGTTTGGGCAAATTGTGTAACTTCTCTTAACCTCAATTTTATTATCAGTAAAACTGTGCCAACCTCATAGTTTAGTATAAGGATTAGAAAGAATATATGTAAAGCATTTAGAACAATGCCTGCAATATGAATAAGCACTATAATATTCAAACTATTCCCATTAAAATAGAGAAATAATAGGCCTCACAGTATCCACTGAGATTTGGGTTCTAGTAGGAGTGAACTGGAAACTTTGAAATCAAATTATTTATATAATACCAATTTTTTTTTTTTTTTTGATAGCAAGTCTTGCTCTGTTGCCCAGACTGGAGTGCAGTGGCTCGATCTTGGCTCACTGCAGCCTCCGCCTCCCAGACTGAAGTGATTCTCCTGCCTCAGCCTCCTGAGTAACTGGGATTACAGGCACGTTCCACCACACCTGGCTAATTTTTTGTATTTTTAGTAGAGACAGGGTTTCACCATGTTAGCCAGGATGGTCTTGATCTCCTGATCTCGTGATCCACCTGCCTCGGCCTCCCAAAGTGCTGGGATTACAGGTGTGAGCCACTGTGCCTGGCCCTCCAATGTGTATTTTTTAATCTGTTAATTGATCTTTTCTTTTTATGCATCTGGATTTTTAGTTTTAGCAATCCTATCTTTATACCAAGATTAAGTAATTTGCCTGCATTTTCTTCTAATATTTCTGTGGTTTCATTTTTTTTTACGTATAGATTTATGGTCTATTTGAAATTTACTTTTGTATAAAATGTCAGGTGTAGATCAACTTTTATATTTTTTTCCAAAAGGCCATCTAGTTATTTCACCACCATTTAGTCTGTCTTTTTCCCACTGCTTTGAATTGCTACCTTTATCACTGAAGTTATTTTTGTGCCTAGGTCTGTTTCTAGCTGTTTATTCTGTTCCATTGGCCTTTTTTTTAAATGTACAAATAACATGATTTTTAAATTAGAGGTTTTTTGTTTGTTTGTTTGTTTGTTTGTTGAGACAGAGTCTTGCTTTGTCATCCAAGCTAGAGTGCAGTGGCGCGATCTTGGGTTGTTGCAACCTCTGCTTTTCAGGTTCATGCAGTTCTCCTGCCTCAGCCTCCCAAGTAGCGAGGATTACAGGCCTGTGCCACCGTGCCTGGCTAATGGTTTTTTTGCATTTTTAGTAGTGACAGGGTTTCACCATATCGGCCAGGTTGGTCTCAAACTCCTGATCTCAGGTGATTCACCTGCCTTGGCCTCCCAAAGTGTTGGGATTACAGGGGTGAGCCACCGTGCCCAGCCTTAATTAGAGGTTTTGTTGGTGTTTCAATATGTGGTGGGGCTGTTCCCCTCTCATTCCTCTTCTTTTTCAGGGTTAAACTCAACTTGCCTAGCTCCAGAAAAAAACTGCTTTGTTTTTTAGTGGAATTGTACTATGTTTATCAATTTACTTAGGAATAATTGAATCTTTGTGATGAGTTAGGCTGTTGAAGTTTGAAGTATTATTTTGTGTCTTTCAGCTGTATTTAAAACTTTTCCTCATATAGATTTTTTACATTTCAGGCTAAATTGATTCCTAAATTATTCTATCTTTTTAATTATGGAATTCTAAATGGAGTTTTCCCTTCCGTTATCTTCTTTTTTGTTTATCTTTATATATTAAGGATATTGATATTTTAAATTGTGGTAAAATATACATGACATATAATTTACCATTTTGATCCTTTTAAAGTATGTAGTTCAGTGGCATTAAGTATGTTCACAGTATTGCACAACCATCACCACTATTTAGCTCCTGAACTTTTCATCACTCCGAACAGAAACCCTGAACCCGTTAAGCAGTCACTCCTTGTTCCTTCTTCTCCTCAGCCCCTGGTGACCAAAAATGTGTTTTCTGTGTCTACAAATTTTCCTAGTCTGTGTATTTGATATAAATGGAGTCATACAAATGTGGCCTTTTGTGTCTGGTTTCTTTCTTTTAGCATAATTTTTCAATTTATGTTGTACCATGTATTAGTTCTCCATTCTTTTTTAAGGCTGAATAATATTCTGTTGTGTGGATATACCACATTTTGTTGATTCATTCATCCCCTGTTAGGCATTTCTGTTTTTTCCTACCTTTTGGCTATTGTGAATAATGTTGCTGTGAACAAAAAGCTGTTGATTTTTTTGTGTGTTAATTTCATATATTTTAACCTTACTGACTTTTTTTTTGTTTGAATTCTGTCATTGGATCTTTTGGTATTTCTAGATTTATGATCACATGTTTTACAAGTAGAGATAGTTTTACTTCTTCTTTGCCAGTTCTTATGTCTGTACTTGCTTTTTGTTGCCTAGTTACACTGGCTAATAACACACCAAATACAATGTTAAATACTACTGGAGATAGTGGGTATTCTTGCCTTGCTCCGGAACTTGGTAAGAATGCTTTAGGTTTTTCTCCATTATTAAGATACTGACTTTAGGATACAGTGTCTCTATCTCTACCTGTATCTACACGCACAATTTTTCTTGTAATATTGTGTGTAATTTTTGTTGAAAACACTTCTGCCTGAGACACTGAGGTTCACTTTTATTTTCATTTACCCAAGTATTGCTAGTTTGCCTCTTACATTTTCTAGGTTTTCTGTAACTTTCTTTTTTTCCTCTAATTGAACAGATGAAATTGATTTTGAAGAGAATATGGAATTAACCTTTGTGATTTTCATTTGCTCCCCTCATCCTACTCCCAACTGCTGCAACTCTACTGCTACCCCTGGCCATCTTTATTATGTTTCTAATTCTCACATCCCTTTACTAACAATAGGACAGTTCCAGGATTTTATGGCTTCTCATACCTCTCCAGATAAAGTTAAGTTTCTTAGTGTAGCACATTAGGTACTCAGTCCTCTGTTACCTGTGTACTTTCCAAATTTCCATCATTTCTCTCAGTTCTTCAGGCATTCTGAATTATTTCCATCCTTAGAGCATACTATGCTATTTTCTGGCTCTTCCTTTTCCACATGCGAGTCTTCCTGCTTTAATCTAGCTACAAGTCAAGTGTCAAGTTTTATTTTTCCTTAAAGTGTGCCTGCTTTAAGAGGGTTGTCGCACATCCTCTTGCAAGCAGTCTGCATAGCTACTGCTTCTCAGAGTTTCTTGCTCCTTTTAGCACTCCCTGTGGGACACCACTTGCTTTACTAGTGGTCTTTGTGTGGAGTTCTGGGACATAGTCCCATTGACAGAATATGGCTGCCAAAGTTTGTTTTAGTGCCCTTTTGTATTCCTCTGGCAACCTGGAATGTCTCTATCATAGCATTATACCACACTAGCTGATTTACTTGTCCCTTTTCCGAGTACGTGTAATTTAGTAACTAATCAATGCAATTTTAAAAAATTTTTTTTTATGGAGACAGGGTCTTGCACTGTCACCTAGGCTGGTCTCAAATTCCTGGACTAAAGAGATCCTCCCACCTTCACCCGCTTGAGTAGCAAGAACTATACACATACCACTGCACTTGGCTGATATTTTTAAATTTTTTTGTAGAGACAGGGTCTTACTCTGTTGCCCAGGTTGGTCCCAAACTCCTGCCCTCAAGCGATCCTCTCACTTTGGCCTCCAAAAGTGCTGGGATTATAGGTGTGAGCCCTTATGCCTGGCCCCAATAAATGTTTATTGAATAATAAGTGAATAGTAAAGCAAACTGGGATCTGTTATCTTCGTCTTCTTCTTTCTTCTTTTCTTTTGTCTGTCTTCTTCCTTTTTTAATTTTTAATTTTATTTTATTATTATTATTTTTTTGACAGAGTCTTGCCCTGTTATCTAGCTGGAGTGCAGTGGCATGATCATGGCTCACTGCAGCCTGAACCTCCTGGATTCAATTGATTCTCTGGCCTCAGCCTCCCAAGTAGCTGTAACTATAGGTGTGCACCACCATTCCTGTCTAATTTTTAAAAATTTATTTGTGGAGATGGGGTCTTGCTATGTTGCCCAGGATGGTCTCAAACTCCTGAGCTCAAGCAGCCCTCTCGCCTCAGCCTCCCAAACACGGGGATTACAGGCGTGAGCCATTGTGCCTTGCCCTTCTTGATTTTACTCTGTCTTTCAAGATTCCTTACTGATTAGGTTAAGATTTCATAGAGAGAGCCAGTTTATTTTCTAGTGATTAATTGTGGTTCCTACAGTTAAATTTCTTTTTATTTCAAATTAAGTTTTGGATTGTAAGCACCTTGATTAGGCAAAAAGGAGCAGAGGGCTGCTGAGGCCCAGGTCACAATTAGTATTTCCTGTCACTACTGGAGATGCGCTGCGTACAGCTTTCTGTCATGAGGAGGTAAAACAGAAACTGAAATAAGTGAGTATCCCTGAGAGACAGTGCCTTCTCATGCAGTAAATGGTAGACCGTGCTATTCGTTATATCATTGATTGAACCGGTTGTTTATTTTGGTAAAAAGTAAAGTCTTTTTTACATCTAGGAACCCCTCTATTGACAGTGTCATTTCTGTTTAAAAGTAGGAATGAAGAATTAGTGAGGAGTGGAGGAAGAGAAATTATACAGAGAAAGCATATTTTTCTTTTCTAAATTTGTGTATTTATGTGTAAGTCTATAGGAAATTCATGAAATACTCTGAAATTTATGTGTTCTACTTTACGTAAAGCTTCTATGTGAGAGGATTTAAAAATCAATGTGCACATTCAGATCTAAGCTGTTTGGCTCACTGTTGCCCTATCTATCTTATTTAATATTTTGGCTGTTTTAGCACATGTATCTTTTGAAGAGGAAGAAGTGGTTGTCAGCAAAAGTTTGTTTTCTTTGCGTAAAGGGAAATTAATAAAATGCCTCTTTGTTTCATGATCAAATATATTGTTTGACCTCTTCCATAGAAATTTCAAGAAATTGCTGAAAAAAATATGGAAAAATTGAACCATATTGAGAAGTCGCATGAACAGTTGGTTCTCGAAAATTCGCACTTCAAAAAACTGTTATCACAGACTCAAAGGGAACAGACATCCTTGCTGGCAGCCTGTGCATTGATGGCTGGTGCCTTATATCCCCTCTATAGCCGATCATGCGCCTTGTCTACACAGAGAGATTTTCTCCAGGAGCAGGTCAACACCTTTGAGTTGTTCAAATTGGAAATTAGAACTCTAGCCCAGGCTTTGTCAACTGTAGAGGAAAAGAAGCAAGAGGAAGCCAAGATGAAAAAGAAAACATTCAAAGGATTGATACGTATATTTCGGAAAGTTGTTATTGCAATTTTGGCAGCAAACAGACTCAAGGTTTTGGGCCAATCATGTGCCTCTCTTTTTACCTGGATGGAGAGTTTCAAAGAAGGCATAGGCATGTTAGTGTGCACAGGAGAGCCCAAAGACAAGCATGAATTTCCAAGTAAGATAATTTGTGCTTTTAAAAATATAGGTTGCATGTAAGTGAAATATACAGTGTGACTATACCTGGCTATTATGGAAAAACTTTAAAAGAATCATGTAAAATGCCAAATAATATAACATAGTCTCCATATGTATGTATATGTGTGTATGGATAAGTGAATATTTTGTATAAATTAGGCTGTGTTTTTTTGTTTTAAGCAGATTAGAATATAAGGTGACAAATATGTATAATTTGAACTTTGTCTTGTTTTATATTTGAATCCTCTGCAGTAAAGCAAAGAGTTTATACAGTGATTTTTCAGTTATGTCAATCAAAAACTGCCCTATTTCAAATTATCAGTATGATTTATTTTCAGTTTCTATGAATAAGTATGAAATGGGTTAAAAATATATTGAAGAATTGTATGAAAATGAGACAAATAAATTTTCCAGTTGTTTTTGAATGCTTAACTATTTTGAAGAAATGACTTGTTTTTATTTTTAAAAAGCAGACTATTAAGTAGTGTAAGTAAAACCAAAGAAAATTTCTTTTTTCTGTTTTTTTGGTATCATTTGCAGTTATTTGTAAATTAGGTCGAGCTAATCTAACATTTCTTAATAGATTTTTGCACAGTAGGCAATGTTCACAATAGGGTTTGATCTGTTTCTTAAATAGCTGAACACTGCTATGAATTTTAAATATAGATTTTAATAAAGTTTTGTAGAATTTTACAATGGATTTTTTCAATTTTACAGAACATCAAAAGGAGCAGTTGCGTTGTTTACAAGCACTTAATTGGCTCACCAGTTCTGACCTTCTTGCTGCAATAATCAGTTCTATGACTGAATTACAAGATGTCATTGGTAAAACAGGTATGGTTCCTTCTTTTATGTCCTTGCAAAATACATTTAAGAACAAATGTCCAGAAATTCTTTATGGCACAAATTCTAATAAACCGTATAGGGAGAAAATAAATTTATTTTTATCTTTATTTTATTCAGTTACGGAGAGATTAATTCTGTACTTAATGATGTAAATTAATATAAATTTTGTCTTTATGGGGAAATGACTTTTCTTGGTGAATGTATCCACCTTATTTTTTTTTCTTTCTGTTTTTCCTATGGAAAGCTCATCATTAGCTTTTTATTAAGTAATACTGGCAATGTTCTTTCATATGTTTTGGCCTTGTTTCACTTCTACTTGTGGCTGTAAATTTCATAAGCTTGAGTAATGTGAGAGCCAGTAGAAAATTTTTCTCTCTCTTTTTGTGATTTTTTTAACTTTTTCTAGTGTATTTTAGATACAATTAATTCGGATAGTCTGCTCCTTCCCACCTGGTGTGGAACCACCTATTATCAGCGATTTACTGATTTAAAATGCAAGTTTTTAAAAATGATTCAGATTGCATGATATTTTGTCTGACAGGTTCAATGAAAACTAATTGGACTAATTATGGTCATTTCAGACACATTAGTTGTTAAAATTGTGTAATGGACTTGTTAAAGTTTGCCTGTTTAATGAAATGTAAGCCTGGATGTAATGATAATTTGGGATTTAATTAGACATTTCCACTGTGCAAATATAGATCATACATTGTGATTTCAAATATCTAAACCTAGACTTTCGTAGTAGGAAACTTAAAGATTATTTTTAAGTTATGGCCATTGATGTTGGTAAGCAATGTGCATATTATTGTGTTGGCAGAACCTCAAGATACTGGGTTTGGAGTCTGAAATAAAATTCTGAACTAAATATATTTTAAGAATTTTGGTATTATAACTTTAAAGCAGAACTGGACATTGTTGAAAGAGCTTAGAAATAGTTTTAGATTTGGTTTAAGAAACAGGTGATTTGAGTGCTTCCAAGATGGCCAAATAGGAACAGCTCCAGTATGCAACTCTAGCAAGATCTATGCAGAAGATGGGTGATTTCTGCGTTTCCAACTGAGGTACCTTGTTCATCTCATTCAGACTGGTTGGACAGTGGGTACAGCCCACGGAGGGTGAGCTGAAGCAGGGCGGGGCGTCACCTCATCCGGGAAGTGCAAGGGGTCGGGGGATTTCCCTTTCCTAGCCAAGGGAAGCTGTGAGAGACTGTACTGGCAGGAATGCTACACTTCCGCTCAAATACTTCGCTTTTTCCACAATCTTCACAACTGGCAGGCCAGGAGATTCTCTCCAGTGCCTGGCTCGGCGGGTCCCATGCCCATGGAGCCCAGCAATCTAAGATCCATTGACTTGAAATCCTTGTTGCTAGCGCAGCAGTCTGTGAACGACCTGGGATGCTGGAGCTTGGTGGGAGGAGGGACGTCCATCATTGCTGAGGCTTGAGTAGGTGGTTTTATGCTCACAGTGTAAACAAAGCTGCTGGGAAGTGTGAACTGGGCGGAGCCCACCGCAGCTCGCCAAGACTGACTGCCTCTGTAGATTCCAGCTCTGTGGACATGGCATATCTGATCAAAAGGCAGCAGCCCTAGTCAGGGACTTATAGATAAAAACCGTCATTTTCCTGGGACAAAGCCCCTGGGGGAAGGGGCAGCTGTGGGCACAGCTTCTGCAGACTTAAACGTCCCTGCCTGACAGCTCTGAAGAGAGCAGTGGTTCTCCCAGCACATTTGAGCTCTAATAATGGGCAGACTGCCTCCTCAAGTGGGTCCGTGACCACCGCGTAGCCTGACTGGGAGACACCTCCCAGTAGGGGCCGACGGACAACTCTTACAGGAGAACTCTGGCTGACATCTGGCAGGTGCCCCTCTGGGACGATGCTTCCAGAGGAAGGATAAGGCAGCAATACTTGCTGTTTTATAGCCCCCACTGCTGATACCCAGGCAGACAGGGTCTGGACTGGACGTCTGGCAAAATCCACCAGATCTGAGATTGAGGTGCCCATTAGAAGGAAAATTAACAAACAGAAAGGAATAGCTTCAACATCAACAAAAAGGACATCCACACCAAAACCCCATCCATAAGTCACCAACATCAAAGACCAAAGGTAGAGAAAACCACAAAGATGGGGAGAAACCAGAGCAGAAAGGCTGAAAATTCCCAAAACCAGAACACCTCTTCTCCTCCGAAAGATCACAACTCCTCGCCAGCAGGGGAACAAAATTGGATGGAGAATGACTTGGACGAGTTGACAAATGTAGGGTTCAGAAGATGAGTAATAACAAACTTCTTCGAGCTAAAGAATGTTCTAACCCATTGCAAGGAAGCTAAAAATCTTGAAAAAAGGTTAAAGGAGTGCTAACTAGAATAACCAGTGTAGAGAAGAACATAAATGACCTGATGCAGTTAAAAAACACAGCATGAGAAATTCATGAAGCATACACAAGCTTCAATAGCCAATTCGATCAAGCGGAAGAAAGGATATCCGTGATTGAAGATCAAATTAATGAAATAAAATGAGAAGACAAGATTAGAGAAAAAAGAGTAAAACAAATGAACAAAGCCTCCAAGAAATATGGGACTATGTGAAAAGACCAAATCTACGTTTGATTGGTGTACCTGAAAGTGATGAGGAGAGTGGAACGAACTTAGAAAACACTCCTCAGGATATTATCCAGGAGAACTTCCCCAACCTAGCAAGGCAGGCCAACATTCAAATTCAGGAAGTACAGAGAACACCACAAAGATATTCCTTGAGAAGAGCAACCCCAAGACACATAGTCGTCAGATTCACCAATGTTGAAGTAAAGGAAAAAATGTTAAGGGCAGCCAGAGAGAAAGGTTGGGTTACCCACAAAGGGAAGCCCATCAGACTAACAGCGGATCTCTTGGCAGAAACCCTACAGCCAGAAGAGAGTGGGAGGCCAATGTTCAACATTCTTAAAGAAAAGAATTTTCAACTCAGAATTTCATATACAGCCAAACTAAGCTTCTTAAATGAAGGAGAAATAAAATCCTTTACAGACATGCAAATGCTGAGAGATTTTGTCACCAACAGGTCTGCCTTACAAGAGCTCCTGAAGGAAGCACTAAACATGGAAAGGAAGAACAGGTACCAGCCACTGCAAAAACATGCCAAATTGTAAAGACCATCGACGCTATGAAGCAAATGCATCAACTAATGGGCAAAATAACCAGTTAGCGTCATAATGACAGGATCAAATTCACACATAACAATATTAACCTTAAATGTAAATGGGTTAAATGCCTCAAGTAAAAGACACAGACTGGCAAATTGGATAAAGAGTCAAGACCCATTGGTATGCTGTATTCAGGAGAACCATCTCACATGCAAAGACGCAGATAGGCTCAAAATAAAGGGATGGAGGAAGATCTACCAAGCAAATGGCAATCAAAAAAGGCAGGGGTTGCTATCCTAGTCTCTGATAAAACAGACATTAAACCAACAAAGATCAAAAGAGACAAAGAAGGCCATTACATAATGGTAAAGGGATCAATTCAACAAGAGCTAACTATCCTAAATATATATGCACCCAATACAGGAGC